TGGATTAGAGACTTAAATGTTAGCCTAATACCATGAAAGACGCTAGGAGGGAAAACCGTAGGGTAGGTCCCTTCAGGACATAGGCATGGGCAAAGGACTCCATGATTCTAAAACCACACCAAAGCAATGGGCAGCAAAAGCCAAAAATGGACATAATGGGATCTCATTAAAACTAAAGAGGTTCTGCACAGGCAAAAGAAAGCTACCATCAGCGTGGACCAGGCAAGCACAGAATGGGAGAAATTGTATGGCAATCTACCATCGACAAAGGGCATATAGTCCAACTACAATGGCAAGAGCGCATACAAGAAAAGAACAAACAACCCATCAAAAAGTGGGCAAAGGATATTGAAACAGACATTCTCCAAAGAAGACATTCATACAGCCAACAGACCATGAAAAAAAGGCTCATCATCACTCGCCATCAGAGAAATGCAAATCAAAACCACAATGAGATTACCATCTCACACCAGTTAGAATGGCTGATCATTAAAAAAGTCAGGAAACAACAGGTGCTGGAGAGGATGTGAAGAAATAGGAACACTTTTACACTGTTGTGGACTGTAAACTAGTGAACCATTATGGAAACAGTATGGCGATTCCTCAAGGATCTAGAACTAGATGTACCATATGACCAGCCATCCCATTACTGGGTATTACCACAAAGGATTATAAATCATGCTGCTATAAAGGACACATGCCACACATATGTTTATTGCGGCACGATTCACAATAGGCAAAGACTTGGGATCAACCCAATGTCCATCAGTGACAGGACTGAATTCAGGAAAATGGCCACATATACACCATGGAATACTATGCAGCCATAAAAAAGGATGAGTTTGGTGCCTTTGTAGGGACATGGATGCAGGCTAGAAACCATCATTCTTAGCAAACTATCACAAGAACACAAAACCAAAACACCGCACGTTCTCACTTATAGGTGGGAACTGGAACAATGAGATCACTTGGTCTCGGGAAGGGGAACATCACACACCGGGCCTATCATGGGGAGGGGGAGGGGGGAGGATTTGCACTGGGAGTTATACCTGATGTAAATGACGATGTTGGATGGGTTGCTGACGAGTTGATGGGTGCAGCACAGCAACATGGCACAAGATAGTACAATGTAACAAACCTGCACGTTATGCACCATGTACCCTATTTTTTTATTTTTTTTACCCTAGAACTTAAAGTATAATAAAAATAAATAAATTTTTTTTAAAAAAAAAAGACAGCCAGTGCTCAACATGTGTCACTGCCCTTCCTTAGGCTCTGATTCAAAGCGTATTACTTGGTTTCTTCATGCCTCAACATCTCCAACCTGCAAAACTGACAAGATGTAATAATGCATGCAAGTGCTGTGAGGATGAGTACAGTTATGTGGGAAATTTAAAAAACACCACACACACATACACACATAAGTTTTCTGACCCTCTACATGAGTGCCTGCTGGAGTGTAGTGAGGTTATGGCCTATGCTGGACTACCTGTTAATACAATCAAAAGTGTGTGGCAGCCGGGCACAGTGGCTTACAACCATAACTCCCAGTACTTTGGGAGACCAAGGCAGGAGGATTGCTTAAGGCCAGGAGTTTGAGATCAGTCTGGGCAACACAGCGAGATCCGATCTCTACAAAAAAATTTAAAAATTAGCCAGGTGTGGTGGCACACACCTGTGGTCCTAGCTACTTAGGAGGCTGAGGCAGAAGGATCACTTAAGTCCAGCAGTTTAAGGCTGCAGTGAGCTATGACTGTGCCACTGCATTCCAGCCTGGGAGGGAGACCTTGTCTAAAAAAAAAAGCCAGGGTGGCTCACGCCTGTAATCCCAGCACTTTGGGAGGCTGAGATGGGCAGATCACTTGAGATTAAGAGTTTGAGACCAGCCTGGCCAACATGGTGAAACCTCGTCTCCACCAAAAATATACAAAATTAGCCGAGTGTGGTGGCACATGCCTGTAATCCGAGCTACTCAGATGGCTGAGGCAGGAGAATTGCTTGAACCCGGGAGGCAGAGGTTCAAGTGAACCAAGATCATGCCACTGCACTCCAGCCTGAGCAACAAAGACTCCTTCTCAAAAAAAAAAAGTGTGCGGCCTATGAGAGAATGTATGTGTTTGATATGGAGAATGGCAAAAGCCAGACAAAGGAAATGAATGAAGAGGCAAGAGATATAAGGAATGACTTGGTGGGTCTGAGGAGGCCAGGGTCCTTGAAGCCCAGACTACAGGGGAAGGGAGTAGAGCTGATCCAGGAGAGGGGTCCTGTCCCTCCAGTCAGCAGGAAAGTCAGGAGGAAGGAAACTGCAGGCCCATTTGAGGATTTGCAGAGGAGGGACAAGGGAGCTGAGGAATTTGAAGACAGTTATTCCCACCCCAACGACATTTAGACTTTTTTGTGAATGTGTGGGTCCTCTGACTGGTGACTCCGCCATGACTGTAGTTCATTTGCTCTATACCCCAGCAGGAGGGTCCTTGTCCATCTAGGTCTCTTCCAAATTATCAAGTATGGTCTAAAATAGGACCTTATTATTTCAAGGTGCCAACTAGCCATCATTCTAGGTAAAAGCCTGTCATATTTAGTAACTTCTGTGGTGAAATTTCTTTTTCAAGGCAGCACACTCATACCAGTCAAGGTGAGTTCTGTTTCTTTGTTTCTTAATGTCAGGCGAGGCATTTGTTCACAGAAGATACTATTTCCTTTTTATATCTTGTCCTGTTTTAAATAAATGCTTGGGGCCGGGTGCGGTGGCTCACGCCTGTAGTCCCAGCACTTTGGGAGGCCGAGGAGGACGGATCACCTGAGCTCAGGAGTTCGAGACCAGACCGACCAACATGGAGAAACCCTGTCTCTACTAAAAATACAAAATTAGCCAGGTGTGGTGACGCACGCCTGTAATCCCAGCTACTCGGGAGGCTGAGGCAGGAGAATTGCTTGAACCTGGGAGGCAGAGGTTGCAGTGAGGCGAGATCCCACCATTGCACTCCAGCCTGGGCAACAAGAGTGAAACTCCATCTCAAAAAAATAAAAAATACAATAAATAAACGCTTGGGGGCCAGGTGCAGTGGCTCAGGCTTGTAATCCCAGCACTTTGGGAGGCCGAGGCGGTGGATCACGAGGTCAGGAGTTCGAGACCAGCCTGACCAACACAGTGAAACCCAGTGTCTACTAAAAATACAAAAATTAGCTGGGCGTGGTGGCGGGCACCGTAATCCCAGCAACTCCGGAGGCTGAGGCAGGAGAATCACTTGAACCTGGGAGGCGGAGGTTGCAGTGAGCTGAGATCGCGCCACTGCACTCCAGCCTGGGCGACAGAGCTAGACTCCGTCTCAAAAAAAAAAATAAAAAATAAAAACAATAAATGCTTGGGCGTTTTTTTCCTTAGCAAAAGAAAAAAAAAGGTGTGTGAGCGGTTGTGCTCGACTGTTCTATACCTGCCTCAGGAATTGATCAGGAAGAGCCATGGAATCCAGAGTAGCCCAGATAGGAAGGCAGGCTAACTCACCTGTGCTCAGAGAGGTTCAAATCAAAGAGACTATGTGGTGGGTCTGACTGCGCAGGGCCAAGGATCTCTTTCGGAGCAAAATGTTCACCCACCGACAAGGGTCCTGCTTGCACTCTCTGCTCACCCTTCCTTCAGTTGGACCGGCCCCAAACACTATTCCTTGCTAAACCAAACGAGCAAATGGGTTCTCTGCTGTATCCCAACTGCAGTCCACAGGCAGTTAGGTCCTTGTCTCCCCAACAAGACTCCACTAGCCCTTCCATTCCTTTCTTCTTTAGGCAAGTTCTGCCCACTGTGTCTGTAGGAAGGGTTAACAAAGAGGAGACGCTAGGAAAGGATACCACTAAATTTGGCCGGACTGCAGGGCCCCGGAAGGACAGAAAGTAAGGGAGTGGGAGGAGTTAGGGCACAGGCCCACGCTAGGCTGGACACGACCTTGCGCAGTCACCGTCGGGTCCCGTCCCCAGCCCCGCCTGCCGCCTCCATTCCCCGCCCCGCGGACAGTTTGGCATAGTAGGGAGTTTTCTGTAACGCAAGGGTTAAATCAGGTTTTCCGGGCTATTTATCCACCTTACCTTCCTTCGTAACCAGTAAATCCTCTTACAAACCCGAGGCGGCAAACTAAAAGGCCAGCGGATGGCCTGGTTTGCTGCGGCGGGGAAACAGTCACTTCCTGGTGCGCAAGGCGCCTCTACTCCCGCCGCAAGCGCAGCCAACCCTTGGCAAGCGCGGCGGGACGCGGGGCTCCTCCCAGCGTCGGCGAGGCAGCAGGCCCCGGCACCTCGACTCCTCTCGGGGAGTGCCCTTCCCTACTTTGCTGGGGGAACCTTCTATGGAGACCTTCCTTAAAAGCACTCATAGCCCTGATACCCGCCGCCTTCCTTCTCTAAGTTCTCCTCTCCTCCCCTCCCCGCGGCCCCGCCCACCACCTGCTCTTTTCTCACCGTCCCATTGGTGGATCTACATAAGAGACTCACGAAGAAACTCAGACTACAGTGTTAACTGCGTTACCCATCCCAGGGGTGCTTGCAGTTTAAGTCTTCCAACTCAAGGAATAGTTTTCTGGTAGACTTGCAGACATCAGATCCATAATAGGTTGGAAGATTGGGAAATGAGGAGCAGGGTGGTTTCCTGAAATGGCATCCTTTGGTAAAAGTCAGACCTATTCTGAGCCGTGGGGTTTTTCAGGCATTCATTCTCTATTTTACACTGCATCAGAAAAATACTTTATAGTTTTTTCACTGGATCCCACTCAAGACTATTAAATCCTAAGCCCTCAGAAATAATTTTTTTCTTCAACTACAGAACTCAAAAAGAAGACAGATGTCTCTTTTTGGTTGATTCACTACCTCCTGGACTACATTCAGTAGCCCAGCCACATAAGTAAGAAAACTTGAGGTATACACACATCTGTGTGCTGTAAAATATTGTTGCTTTAACAGAGTAAAATTTACAGCAAAGTGGACGTACCAGGCTGGGCATAGTGGCTCACACCTGTAATCCCAGCACTTTGGGAGGCTGAGGAGGAAGGATCAGCTGAGGTCAGGAGTTCGAGACCAGCCTGACTAACATGGTGAAACCCCGTCCCTACTAAAAATACAAAAATTAGCTGGGCATGGTGGCGCACTCCTGTAATCCCAGCTACTTGGGAGGCTGAGACAGAAGAGTCACTTGAACCCAGGAGGTGGAGGTTGCAGTGAGCGATCACACCACTGCACTCCAGCATGGGCAAAAAGAGCGAAACTCCGTTTCAAAAAAAAAAAAAGTGAACGTACATTTAATGATACTTTATGCTTAATAATAATTGTGCTTAAGTGGAAAACACTTTGTAGTCAACATTTCATTTATTAATATTTATTCAAAGCATAACATGCCTATTATGTGTAAGGCAATGCGTTAGCCTTAGTGAGTACAGTAGTAAATTAAACAAGGCCCAATACTTCAAATAGTAGCAAACATTGAGTCAGTCAGAATAGAATTAAAAGCCCAGATCTGCCACTTATTTTTTATTTTTCTGTTTTTTTGAGACGGAGCTTTGCTCTTGTTGCCAAGGCTAGAGTGCAATGGTGCGATCTCGGCTCACCGCAACCTCCATCTCCCGGGTTCAAGCGATTCTCCTGCCTCAGCCTCTCAAGTAGCTGGGATTACAGGAGTGTACCACCAAGTCCAGCTAATTTTTGTATTTTTAGTAGAAAGGGGGTTTCACCATGTTGGTCAGGCTGGTCTCGATCTCCTGACCTCAGGTGATCCGCCTGCCTCAGCCTCCCAAAGTGCTAGGATTACAGGCATAAGCCACTGTCCCCAGCAGCTCTGCCACTTATAAGCTGTGTCCACTTGAGCAAGTTATTTAATTGCTCAGTGCCTCAGTTTCATCATCTGAAAAAAATGTCCAAATAATTGTACCTATTTCATAGGGTTGTGACAACGATTAAATTAGTTAATACGCACAAAGTGCTTAGAATACAGTAAGTACACAAAAAAGTTAGCTATTATCATTCGAAATAAGTTGATACACTGTGTGTTCATACATTCTGAAGGAAATCAAAATATTTTACCCCAAAATAAATGTATTTGCCATATTTTTGAAATGGCTGCCTCAGGACCAGAGGACTGAGATGGGGGAAATTTGCGTCTGTAGAGAACCTCCTTGAATGCAGCCAAGCTTCCCATTTCTATGCCTTACCTGGATCCAGGAGAGATTGAGTCTGACATCTTTAAAAGTTTGGAAAGAAGCATTTACCACCTATTCTTTCTGAAGGAGGCTTCCTCTACATAACAAGGCCACCTTCACAAACCAAGTCTCTTCCTTTCTTCCATAACCTATCTTGCTACTAAAACCTGTTTTTATATATACTCTGAGTCCATCCACATTCTTTCTGTAATTTCTTACTTTTTTATTTTTTATTTTTTATTTTTTTGAGACGGAGTCTAGCTCTGTCACCCAGGCTGGAGTGCAGTGGCACGATCTCAGCTCACTGCAACCTCTGCCTCCCGGGTTCAAGCAATTCTCCTGCCTCAGCCTCCCTACTAGCTGTACTACAGGCATGCACCACCACACCCAGCTAATTTTTGTATTTTTAGTAGAGACGGAGTTTCACCATGTTGGCCAGGATGGTCTCGATCTCTTGACCTCGTGATCTGCCCACCTCGGCCTCCCAAAGTGCTGGGATTACAGGCATGAGCAACCGCCCAGCCTCTTTCCGTAATTTCAAGATGATATATAAGCTTCTGTTAATTATTGGGAAGTTGGGTCTCCATGATGAAGGCTCCCATGTGTACATGTTAAATGAATTTGTATGCCTTTTCTCCTATAAATCAACCTCGTATCAGTGATATTTTAGTGAACCTTCAGGGGGCCAATGGCTGTGGCCCCCACAACACACACACACGCCCGTGCACGTATATATTTCTTGTTTTTTAAAGAGAGATTTCACTTCCATCCTAAACCCTTGAGGATGTAAATGTTTGACTCAAATTGCTACTATCCTAACTGCTCTCATGGCTCATAAACAAAATTTGAGCTCAAACCACTGCTTCAGCTTTCTAGGCCCATACAGGGCTACAAAGTGAGACCAGGCCAGAGAATTTACCTTTGGCTCTATTTTCCCTTTCTCATCTATTATCCCCTCTTATATGGATAGACAGCTCCACACCTTTTATCACCTCCTCTTCCCCTTTCTTTGCCTTCCCAAGCCCTTCTGCTCCTTTATCACTTCTCATTTTGGCCTTCTGTGTTGTGCCTAGCACAGTGTCAGGTGTCCAATACGAGCTCAATAAATATTAATATTTGATTAATTAAACTGAATTCCATCTTGTCTGCTGAAAGAGAGAAGGCATTTCCTCCCTCACCCCCACCTATTTTGAGCATCCAGGCAAATTCATTTAAAGCAGGCCTGTCATTCAAGGAGGCAAAACCCTGATGGGTAGAGAGAGAAAAGAGATTAAAGAAGCTAAAATGTAATTATTTAGCCATTAACCCCTTTATATTTATTTAATCTGGCAAAGCATGTTCTTCTATAAAAGTGAAATCATTACATTTGTAAGAGGGGAAATAAATACCCCATATTATAGGAAAGGTTAGACCCCTTCAGCCAGAAAGTCAGTAAGTGGATATGTCATAGATGATAAGGAATATTGTTAACTCAAATAAGAGCTGGAACCAAGATAACCTTTTACTTAATTTTGTTATTAGCCAACCAAATCACAGCAAAGTGAAATCTCTAGGAATTTGTCAAACATTCTCATTTTGGTGCAAGGAAAAGATAGCTGAGAGGTTACAGCATTCGCTCTCAGAAATAACATGTATTAAAATTGACCGAGCAGGAGCATCACCCTCTTGGACAAGCACCGCCATTCTAAAGTTCCCCTTTGTCAAAAACTTCCTGAGGCTGGGCGAGGTGGCTCACGCCCGTAATCCAAGCACTTTGGGAGGCCAAGGCGGGTGGATCACCTGAGGTCAGGAGTTCAAGACTAAACTGGCTAACATGGGGAAACCCCGTCTCTACTAAAAATACAAAAATTAAGTGGGTATAGTGGCAGGTGCCTGTAATCCCAGCTGCTTGAGAGGCTGAGGCAGGAGAATCACTTGAATCCAGCAAGCGGAGGTTGCAGTGAGCCAAGATCATGCCACTGTACTCCAGTCTGGGTGACAGAGCAAAACTCCATTTCGAATTAAAAAAAAAAAAAAAAAGTTTAATTGATGAGAGCTCAACCATAACATGTGGGAGATGGAGTTATTACTCACATCAATCTCCCTGAAAATTTGGAGGCTAGAATTTTTCAAAGATAGTTTGGTAGGCAGTTATAGTTATATGTATAGACAACTCTATACCTTTCATCACCTCCTCTTCCCCTTTGGTTGAGGATGCAATCATAGGGGTATGGAAAATGGTCCTCTTGGACAGAGTCTGCTCCTGGGTCGGAACCACAGTAGGTGTGGGGTGGAACAATTCAGTAAGTGTGGAGTGGGGCTCAGAATCCATATGTGTTACAATCATCCAAGCGGATTGTGTTGCAGATGTGCCCCGACCATATTTTGAGAAACATTTGCAGTATGCAGTATAGCTTGCCTTAGCACAGAACCTTATGACCTCCCATCTGAATGTATGCAGCAGTCTCCCTCAGCTTCCAGGTCACTGAAACTGCCTTTGCAAAATGATGACATTAAGAGAAATCTGACATTGTTGACTCCATCTTGCCTTTAACTTCCAAGCTGTCCTTGGCCGTTCATGGGCATGGGCCACGCTAACTTTGGGAGAAAGTTAGTTTATAGTTTAAATAACAGCCTTTCCCAAAAACTAAACCACCCTTGTAAAACTAATGAAAGGGCACCAACCAGGTTAGGAGGATGAGAGGGGCCTGCATTCTACTAAGATGTAGGCATAGTTAAATGATTGCCAGCCACTATTCCAGAGGTCACAAAATATGCAACTATTCCAATTACTCCTGCAGGTAACATGACTATTGTAGAACCTAAGATTGGCCTTTTGAGATGTCTCCAGGTCTTTTGGGTGTCTGACACCCATGGCTCCACCTGTACCCACCAACCACTCCTGTGGTCCCACCCAGAAGTGACTCAGTGCAAGAGGCGAGCTTCCAATCCCTATGATTTCATTTTCAACCCAAGCAATCAGCACCCATTGCTTAGCCACCCCTGTCCCTTCCCCCAAACTACCTTCGAAAAACCCCTAACCTTTGATACTTTGATACTTTGATACTTTGAGGAGATGGTTTGGCCGGCCTTGTGTCAATTAAACTCTTTCTCTACTGCAATGCCATGGTCTATTTTGTTTGTGCAGTGGGCAGGAAGAACCCATGGGGCAGTTATAGGGCTCAGGAATATCTAGGTTTGTAACAAGCATACCAGGTGATGTCCATTAAAATCTGAGCTCCGACTACCACACACC